CACTTTGCAATCTCTTTGAACTTTTTCAGGATTTAGAGGAAACAGTTTTGTCTCTATGTAAATCTATTCAGTACAAATCCTACTCACAAAAAAGGACTGATAACTGTAGCAGAAGCCCCTAGACAAGGGAATCTTGTTAGTTTGCATCCATTACTTGAAAGATGTAGTATTTATAACAAATTTATACAAAAGTCAGGAAGAATCTAAGTGCAATGGCAAAGAAATCACAGAGACTATGAAAGGAAGTGCACATGAGAGAAACTACATTCAAAAATCCCAAGCATTGGAGTTTATATTGCTTTTCACATTACTGCCCACATTACTACAAGCTGTCTTACATGAACCATTATTTGCCACTCAGAATGTACTTACATTATAATTTAAATATTAATCCTGGTGTTATACCAGTCATTCCTTGAGAAATAGGTTTAAAACCTGACTATTTTGCCTACAGCATGAAAACTCACAATGTTTAACGGCACAGAAACAATTTAAATTCAGGGAAAAGGGACAAAAGTCTAAAAACTTGAATACTGGTATGAGATTGCTACAAAAACAAAAGCTTCTCTTCCCCAGTTTGGTTTTCGTCTCTCCATAAATACACCAAGATACACAGAGAACTTATCTCTCACACTAGTCAAAAAATAATCTCTCAGTTGTCTAAGTAACTTCATTATTGTATTTAAATTCATACAGCTGCCTTCACTGTGTAATATTTTAAAAAAAACTCACAAAATCAGCTTCAAGTTTTCCCATTTCTTGTTTGTAGCTTCTCATTCGGCTGCTGTACATGCCTCGGCTTTGAGGTGGGATCTCTCGAACTTCAAGTTCCATCTGCTCAAGCTAGCGAGAAAAAGAAGAGACACACAAATCAAAAGGGTAGCTGAAGCAAGCATGAATTTACCTAAATTGTTCACAACACGACAAAATATTCTTTATCAAGAAAAATGTTGTTCATTCTGCAACATTTGAAAAACCTTACCAAAATATTTACACAGCCTTAAGTCAGTAAACAAGTGGCAAAATGAATATTATTAACACTTATAAGGAATGATTCTAGTCAAGTATTTCTGAATTTTAATCCTAAATGTGATGAATATATTTTTATACAAGAAAAGAGTAAAACTGAAGTTAAATAACTTCCTGGAAATGAACATAGTTCAAAAGAAAGCCTATGTCCATTTAGCTGTAGGGTTTTGGAAACCCTTGGCTGAAAAAGGTGTTTTACTTTTATACACACATGCATATATATATATATATACACACACATTTAAAGTTTTATTTACCATTAGCTTCCAGGTTTAACAAAATAGTTCTCGTTCTTTTAAATACTGCTTATTCAGTAGAATTACAAAGCCTGAACTGACTGCCTAAATCTACATCTCAAATCTGTATGTAGGCACATGAAATAGCTCAACTGAAGGGTTTAATGACAATATTATTCAAGAACTTGTATACAGTCAAATGCATTAAAAATGCTTCTTCTATTTATTCTTGCTATACAGACTGCTACTGAGAGGCCTGAAACACAAGGAGGTACAGAATATCAAAATATAAAATAGGGTTGAGCTGCCTCCAAATTATCTGCCCACTGGGTCATGGAGCCTCCTCTGTGTGTTGTTATCTGTTTGGGAATTATATTTTGCACAGCTGAAGAATCCATTACCTGCCTTTAAAAGTCTTTCTGACCTATTTTGTTGCTGTAAGCACCTGAAACTATTTACTCACCTCCTACTGATCTCAGCTGAGTAATATGGCATTGGAACAGAAATGCCTTTCAATTAGGGTCCCAAGCTACCAGTTACTGGTCTTCACAAGGGACAACTACAGTTTATTTCTATACAATCACTTGCTCGCACTTTGAAATTTTGCCCTTATATCACAAGAAAAGTATCTGAATTTAATCAATGGAATTACCAGATACTCAAAAGTCATTCTGCCTAATATATTCTGATTATACAAAGTTATATTCAATAATAAACTGTAAAGCAGACTTTAATTAAATTGTCAGTAATGAAATGGAACATACAAAGCAATTTCTAAGTCTATCCAGTTCTTTGGCTCAGGCTTAACTTTCCAAAGGGCTATTATAAATTAAGCCAATAGCTGAAATTAATGGCTTATTTCTGATCTATTTCTTCTCACTGTGTTTGATCTCAAAAGTTCTATAAACATCAAAAACATTCCTCATATATATATATAGCATATATGCAAGGGTAGGATGTTTTAAAGAAGCCTTAATTCTTATCTACTACACAAAAACTAAACCATCTCCACGTGAATACAGAATTTGCAGCAAGGAGCAGATCAAGTCCATGAAATCCAAAATGTTCATTAGAATGAGTCAGTATCAGAGAGCATAAGGTCCAAACAACAACAATAAACCATGTATATTTAGGCTGACCAATGTTTAACACCTCTTTTTTTCTTTATTTTTTTTTCCCCCCATTGTGAGTTTAAAGAGCTACACTTGGTGGCTGGGCTGCTAAATTTCCATGCAAAATCATGCAGAAGATAGTGGTCAGGCACGTGTGAACCTAAATACAACCTAATTTCATGCATTTTTGTTTTCAGGACTCATATTATTGGTCATAAAAGCTTACTTTCCATATACAACGAAGAACAGAGCTAAATTATACTTAGAGCTAAAAGTAACTTGGTACTTAAATCTCAAATTATCTGTAGAAGTTCAAGTTTTCTTCAGAAAACCTACAAACTCAAAATTCTGTTATTACTTACATTCTAACTTGTCACCACTGTGGTGAAGCTGAGTATTTTGGCACCTAACTCATGCCCAAATTCATAAATGAGGTCCCATCCTTGAGGCTCCTCAAACCTAGTAGGTTTGTTCCTAACAACACTCAGTACACTCCCAGCACTGAATACAGTGTGAAGCAGAGCAGCCACTAATATTTCCATTCAAAAACACAACAAAGCAAAGCAGTGCTGCTGCTGTTGGCCACTGGGACCTTTTATGGTTTGGCCTCAGCTGGGAGCTAAACACCAGCTGCCACTGCGCCCCTTCCTGCCCTGCCACATGCTGGGGGAAGAAAATCAGGAGGAAAAGAAAACCAAGAGCTTGTGGGTTGAGATAAGGGCAGTTTAACAGAACACCACAAAACAAGAAGAAAATCCAATAATAACAGTAATACCAGTGAAACAACATATAAAGTAAGTGACCATAAACCCCTCACCCAAGCTCCAGCCATGACCCGACACTACCCACTGAAAACTGGGGGGCCCATGCACCAGCCCCTCCCCTTACACAGAGGGCATGACCTCAGGATGGTATCCACTACCCTGTTGCCTGGCCGGGTTATTTATCCTGGCTGCAGCCCCACTCAGATGCAGCCAGTTGTGACCATTAACCCCATCCTGGCCCAACCCAGGACAGAACCTTAAAATAAGTTTCCCCCTTCCTACAGGAACTTTTCCACATAAAATTGCTCAGGACAGTTGCTAGCATTTTATGGAAGGTGTAAGCTTTGCTATTTTATTCTGATTTTAAAGTCTTGGAGTTAAAAGAGATCTACACTTAAAAAAAAAGTGTCTAAATAAGAATAACCTAGCATTTGCAACACTAAATTAATTTATGCGCGTTACAAAAAAGCCAACTGTCTAGTTAAGATTAATCTAGCATGTAAAGAACAATTTTGTGATGTATCCCTTATAAAACATAAAGGCAAATAACGTAGAGATAGCTTTTTCTTTTTAAAAGTAGAATTTCACTCAAAAATGATAATTCTAGCCTGTGCTAGATTTTATATTCAAAGAATTTCCCTTAAGTTATCGCAACATTCACCCTTCTTCAAAACTTGGAAAAATAACATTCAGACACTCCACATGGATGTAGAATGACAGGATTTCCCTCCAGAGAACTTGTGCTAGACAGCTTTGGCTGGAAAAAGCAGCCTGAGAGTCTGGAAGTTTAGGTGTTGAGTTCTGCACACAGATCAAATCCCTTACACCAGTGACTTTAGCCAAACAGACTGTGTTGTAAAACAATAGCTAGTCAATATAAATAAATTATCTCTGAAATAATATTTATAATACAGGAGAGTATTATTTCCTAGCCAAGTAGGAAATAAACCAAAATAAGGTAAAACTAGCTCTGACTACTCAAGGCAATGAAGCAAATCAACGTATGAAAACTATCAACAGCATAGAATTAGGCTTATTTTTATTTTCTACTGTAGCCTTTAGTTTAGAAGAGGATCTTTTTAATCAGTTCTGTTACTAGCAGATTTGTTCAAATGGATTTTTAAACCCAAGCCCTGACATTAGTCACAAACATGTTAGGTAATTGCTTTAAGCAAGTAATTGAATTAAGCAGCTGTCTGGCAGCATTAGCAACAAGATCTAAAACAGAAATGTGAAAAAAAATACCCATATATTAAATGAAAATCATCATTAGGATAAAAGTACAGATACAGGATTTACTTTTGAATCTTGTACTAAATTTAGATGATCTTCTTCTGACATAAGGAGAGAAATAATGAGCCATTAATTACATTTCTGCTCCTTCCAATCTTAGGAATAGAAAACCAAACTTGAATGATTTTTCATCATTTTACCCATGATAAAATTTCACTAAGTTCCCCTGTATTTCTATGCTTTTTTTTTTCCCATCTCAAGTTGCAGCTGTAAGTTTCTACGTTTTTACTTTCTTTCACCACTTACTAAAAGAGAAAAAAAAGTCTACTGCTCTACAAGATAATCAGACAGATTAAATCAAGATGCATGAGTCAAAGAAAAAAAAAGAGTAAAGAGTTCAGGTATGTAAATATTTAATTCCATTCTTAAAGTAAAAGAACACAATTCAAAGCCTCTGCCAGCCTGTAACAGTTTACAGCAATAATGCAATAAAACTTAAATCACTTCACACAAGACTTAAAAAGAATACAATACTCTTGGGTATTTTGTATTCTCCAATAAGAACTATTTCAAATATATTGTTTCATTTTTTAATACATTATTGTTAAGTATTTTTAGGGCATCATATGCATTAAAAGTTACCGCTAATGATCCCAATATTTTCCCTAGGAATTTGCAGTTAACATATGAAAAGCCAGAACATACCAGTTCCCTTGCTTCTTCAAGCTGTTTCTCAACACTTGCAACCATCTGTTTCTTCTCATCTGAAACAGAATTATGAAAATATCAGTATAATTGTGCTCTTGCCATGAAAGAAAAATATACCATTGCAAAAGCTTACACGCATCAGCTAAAACTGACTTAAGGGATTTATTGTGTGTGACATCATCATACACTGTCATACTCACATTAGGAATTCAAAAAAAAAAAGAAAAGAGAAGAGGAGGCTTGAGAATACAAAATCTTCTGCTTGGTTATGCAGCATGTGCTAGTTAGGAGAGCAGCTGCAGCTGCTCCAGGTGTAGGAGTTGTGCCTCAGCAGGTGCTTGCTGGGTGTGGGCAAACAGATGAGAAAGCACAGGCGTGCCAGACAGGGGGAGGGAGAAGGTTTAAGAACAAAGGTTTATTCTATTTATTTGCAAAATACGAGATGCACAAAACTGAGCACCTCACTTACAATGAATCCAGGTACTGAAGAAAAATGAGGTTTCTATTCCCTGCTCCCATGCTAGCATTGGGTTTTTTTTGCTTCAGCAGAAACAAATTGAAATGCCATGGGAACTACAAGTAAACCAGTCTTCTAATTTAATTTGCAATTAAATGCAAATCAGTAATGAAAGGTAAAAAATTAAAAAAATTAATATGTTATAACCTAGCAGTCATCAGTAGCAATCATCACGTGCTGGGCTCCCCAGCAAGGCTACACCCAGCTATAGAGATCAAAGCTATAGAGCTTTCAGTGTGCCTCCAACCACTCTCTCAGGCAGAGATCCAACCTGAACTGAGGTTCAGTGTCACATCTGCCAACACTCCAACGGCTTACCACTCGGATTGTTACAGCACGAAAGGGCACTTTGTGAGGAATATTCAGCCACTGGGTACCAAAAACTCCCCACACTGCTTTATTACTGTGGGAATTCAGGGGCTTCCCTCCTGCCATTTGCCCTGCGCCCCTCTCTTGGCCACATCCTCAATCCTTCAGACTCAGAGTGGACAACAAGACTCTGAATGTACAACCCTTTGTAGCAGCTTGTTTCAAATGGAGAACATCATGAGACACCTGTGCTGGTGGCTTGCCTGATGAAGCAGATAAAAAGAGAATTGCACAAAAACATCCCTAGTCATTGCTCCTCAGAGATCATGATGGATGAGTCTATGTTGGCACAAGAGACTTCACTGTGTGTCTTCAGACCTCACGGCTTTCAGCCTGAATTCCTTTACTTCTCCACCACATGATCTCTTTGTATTCCAGAACTGACACATCAAAGATCAAAAGAGACTATCTGGTGATCTCCTTTGATCCTCCACATGGCACAAGCCACTGAACTTCAAGAGGGACTCCCTTTATCAAATGTATAAATAATTTGGCTTCTTATAGGCTGAAATGCTTTATTTTTAAGCAAGCTTAATGCCATAGGCAGGAATTGGAGGATGCTGAGGTAGCAACCAAACCCAAAATTTCTGCCATATAAAGTAGAACATGCCCCTAAATCAACCTCCCTTAAAGGCAACAGAATTACTTCTGGAAGGCCCATATTGCTACGTTTTTTTGTGGAGCATCCCCAGCTTAAGCAAGCCATGTTTCAGCCAAGTCCTCCCATGGCTGTTCCACAGTATCCTGCATTACTTCTGCATGGGCCTATCCACCTGTCTTCTCACTTACCCAAGACACTCTGCACTCTCATTTAAGGACCTGTGAACATCATGACCTCTCTGCCTGCAGTTACCTACACTGGAGCTCTGCCTGCAGAGAGTATCAGGTTCAGGATCACCTCTCCACCTTTAAGATAACGCAGAGATCTTTGCAAAGAGCTGCCTTCTGAGGATACACCAGCCCACACATGGCAGATCTACAAGAACACATCACATGCACTACGTTATCACCCAGGAAGCTGCTAGAGTACTGTAGAACATGGGTAATTCATCTACAGTCCAAAAATAAGACTGTAGGCTGAGGTCCTTCACTAAGGAAAAATCCCTCTCAGAGCACAAGTTCTCAAGAATGTGTTATGGCCAACTGGAGAGGCAGCCAGGATTCCTTCTGAGATTGGACCGGATAAATAGCTGCTACACTGCTGATGAGGTGCACCTAGAGATGAGACTGGCTTAGGCTCCGACTCTGTTATACCCTATATGCACAAATCAAGGTGTTGCTGGGTGCCAGCAGTAAGAACTGAACAACACTGTGTTTGGCAAAACAGAACTGGAATAAAATCTTGAAGAAAGCTGAAGCCCTCTGAGTAAAGGGAGCTCTGCCAGTGACACGAGTGAGGAGGAGGCACTTGAATTCCAGCAAAAATTAGAAATTAGAACACACCTTCAAGTCCTCCCAAACAGAGTTTCCTTTCTCAACCTTGAAAGAGGCCCAGAATTTCATCAGGTACAAAGTAAAGTACAAAGCTAAAGCCATGGATAAACAGCACCTTCCTTGGAAATATGGAACTCGCATTGCCACATCTCATGGGTTCTACAGCAGAAGATGCAAGAAATGCTCCTTTCTGCACAGCACTTTGAGCTCTCTGGTAGCAATGTCTGTCTTTTAACTCCCCACCAAGTTCTCATTATGGCATCCATGCCAGAAAGTGTAATGGTTAGTGATTTATCTTCTTAACATTTTATTATTGCTAAACTCAAAATAAAAGAGAATCTGCCACTTGTTTGCCCACACATTTCAGTTCTCCTACCAAGCATCCCAAAATACCTCTTCTTTCTTTCCTTTGGGAGCAGGTGAGATGACGATGGATGAAAGGAAAAACAACGTAAGATACCAAACACAACTCTATTTTATTGAAGCCAACAAAACTTTAAAATATAGCAGCAGCAAATAAACATACTATAGCAATTTCAGCATTTCCCTGAGTTTTACTGGATTACAACTTCCATACACATTAAGTCACCTGAAATTTAGGGGTATAAAGTTGGGGGGTTGGGGCAGATATTTCATGCTGCACAAATTCTGTGTGTACTTGGGGTTACAAAAAGAAAGCTAGCACTCTGCTGACCAGTAAGATCTTATGTACCCAGAGACATCAAGCTACAGACTTTTGGTAGGGAAAACTCCTTGGTACACAAGGAGGTCTGGCTGAAATCATTCCCATAAAACTGCAGAGGTATTGAAATGATCTTCAATGGTTTAGTTAAACTTTAACCCAACTCCAGTATTGCATTTTAACATGGTCCCAGATTTATCAATACATAATCACCCAGCTGGTGACCAGAGCAATGGCTGGGAGCAAGACCTACTGCCAACAGGCCTCAGGGATGTGTGAGCAGGCACACGGCAACCCCAGCACTGCAACCGTGGAGCAGTTCTCTTCATGGATTTCCAAGAAAGAAGCTGAACTTGTTGCAACTGCTGATCCTTTAGGGCACATGACACCACAAAGACCCCAGAGCAAGAAGGGGTGGCAGGATCCAACAGGGTCACTTGGGTAAGGAAAAGCAAGCATACTAAAGTGCAAGTATCAACCACATGGTTTCACTTGCCTCTCCTCCTCTAGCCACATCCATGTAGAACCCTGCTCTGAGTACACTGCCAGGAGCACTTGCCTGCTGGACTGCCAATACCTCTAGGCCTGTTGTTGATATGAGCAACAGAAGCATGAAATGCTACAACACTGCCAGTCAAGAAGCACTTGCTGGAATGGCTTTCAGAATATTTATGTCCAGTTTTACTGCCATGGTTAAGCTGAGGAAACAACTTACTTCACAGTCAGAATCTCCATAAAAAGGATGACACAACATCCACAAGGTGCTCAGACTGCAGATGAGGTCAGAGGAAGTTACTTAGAATAAGAGAAGCCTGCCACTAATGTAGTAGATCAGGACAAACAAGTTACAATCCAATTAAAGATCCTATTACTAACTGTATTACTCCACTATGTCTTAGCAGTTTTCAATCTGCTTACTTGATCTTTTCCTTAGATGCAGTTCTATCGTATGAAATAAGAAAATGTTTTTGTTTTTTTTTTTTTTTTAAAAATAGAATTTTTTTTCTCCACATTACCACAGAGAATGTCCTAAAGAAAATATTTCAAGCAGCTTTTATAATGTAACCAGTCAAATTGACAAGAGTATGGATAAATATAAAGACTGGAAACAAAAGTGGCTTTTTTTTCCTCATGCTAAGTATGGCAAACAAAGAAGTGATACAAGGTTGTATCAATTTCTTAAAAGAAACAAGCTTTTACTACATTTTCCTCAGTTCTTTCAGGTTTGTCCTTGCATTAGTCAACTCTTTTGTCTCCCAAAACACAGCAGTTACAGAAAGGTGGAAATCCTCCTACAGGTGTAGAAACACAACACAGCTCTGGTTTGATCTCACAACCAATGAATAGATTAAAAAAATCTGGACCAAAACTGAGCAGTACCATTGCTTGTGGGATTGCTTCTTTTTATTAGTACATGCTGAGGAAGAGACTGAGTAACAAAGGGCTCCAGTTCATAGAGCACTTGCAGGTTTTGCTACACTGGCTGAGGTTGCTCCCATGTTCACCACTGCAGAAGTTACTGTCCCAGTGGAGACAAATGGGAGAACACCAACCTCTTGGGTGGTTCAAGAGGCAGAACATGATGAACCAGAGCTGAAGTGGAGATAGTGAACTCCAGTACAGGGGCACAACAGAAAATTAAAGGTGGGACTTTTTTCAGCTACATCTGTTAGAGACTGAAATACAATGTTTTGATTGCCCAGTAGAAAATGCAGGTTACCGAGTGTCAGAAGAATGACAGCACTCAAGTATAAAAACACCACAACCCAGAGGCTGCTGTGCTGGGAGAAGACTAAGGTATTTATGGTCTTTTAGATCAAGCAACCAAACTTTATAGAAAATTTTGGTCAAATCACAAGGCAGATGTTTCTCTGAAACACAGAGCACTGTTAATAAAGCACACCAGCCAATAATCTTCGTTCTTCAAAGACTTGCAGCAGCATCACAGAAAAAACATCTATTTAAAAGCCATTTTTCTGTTCAGAATGCTCTCTTGAATTCTTCAGATGATGTCTGCCTCAACAGAAGACATTTTTTCCCAAGATGTTCTGTCGTCCCTGGTGTTTATTGTTTCTGCAGCATCAGAGTGCCTTTGTTACATTTCTTGCTGAACTATTTATGGTTTTGTGACAATGGGATTGTTTGTTGAGCCGTCATCTTCCTAGAACACAAGACAGCATCAAGTCCTGACAACACCAAATGCAGGAATCTTGCAAAAACAATTAACCATCACTTCTCCAATTCGATTGAATGTTAAGCTTGCACCAGGTCCATCTTGGTCAGAAGAAGGAAACAGAGAAACTCACTAGACTTCAGGAGATCTCTCTGTATTATGAAGAAGTAGCACAAGTCCTTACACCTTTCATTCTGCTTCTTCCAGCGTGGAGGAAGAAGGCCATCTGTCTCAAATCACTGCTGCTGAAAACTGGCACCTCACGTGCATCTCTCCTCATATCCCCCTCCCACCTCATAATCCTGCTTTTGAGGCTCTCCCAGCCATTTCCACAAGCACTAACTGGAACTTCTGGTGATGAAGACGCAAAGATCTTGCAAATATTCCTATTAAGAAACAAGGGAAAAATGTGTATTTAAAATGTTGCTGATTAAAGTGTTCAGCATAATCAGAGATTTATTTTTTTCCAGATGATCAAATGCCTCTATCAGCCAAGGCTGCAGTTTGTTTTGAAGTCATCCATCATTTTTTTGTTTCTGATGAAAGAGAGAATAGCCCTGAAAACAGATGCAGTGCACTCACAAAGGTACAGTGCAAGAAGTAGCTATAATGCAAGCCAGTCCAAAACACATGACCAGCCTCAAATCCTAACATGGAAAAGCCATCTCTTAAAAAAAAAAAAGAAAAGCTAACCATTGCCTTGTCTTCTTGAGGCCATTTAGCCCAATACCACAGGAGTGGTCCCAGGGGGAACAATCATTCTTTCTCCTCAGAGAG